CCTCAGACTTTCATGGAATATGTGAATTTTCCCATCTTTATCAAGGAGAACACCTGTATTTTTCTTTTCAAGCATAAACTTTTTTATTAAGTTATGTGGGTAAATTAAATTATTCTTATTTACAAAGTTGCCAGATGACTGGAATAGAATGATTTTTAAAAATGGATGTTGGGATTTTACTAACAGCATCTTAATTTTGCTGGCCATCCTAGTGTCCAGTGAAACCATTTATGAGATATGTAGTGAAGTACGTTTTCCCTTAGAAATGAAATTTTCTTTCAAGGACGAGTAGTTTACTTTCAATAAATAATGTTTTATTTTATATTAGGTTTATAGTTAAAAAATTTTTTTCTTCACACTCTAAGCTATTCAGGTTAACTTAATGCATAAATATAGCTTTGGTAAAAATTTACTTTTATCTCCTGCCTCCTGATTTAATTTTTTTTAATTTTATTTTTTTAACCATAACAAGATCACAACAAAAAACTGAGCTTTCATAGTGAGTCCTAAAAATCTCAAGTTAAAAACCTTGCCATGATCTAAAATGTCTGTCATCTGTCAGGCCACCAGTTCTCTTTGTGTTTATTCCTAAGACTGTACATACTTTTTCTGAGACGTTTCAAGAGTAGAAAATGAGGGGAGGGAGCATATTGATTTTTGAAGCCCTTTACTAGTAGCCGATTAGAGAAGGAACTTGGTAAAAGTACATAAGAATAAATATGTAATCGACATATGAGTTAAGTTGCTTGGTGTATCTAATAAAAAGTTGAAAACAGAATTTTTTGAACAAGGTAGAAAATCCACTTGCAGGACAGTTGACTCACTCTCTGAAAGGCAGCATTCTCCTTGGCGCGTGTCACATGTGAGTCCGTTTTTCCTGAGGTGTTCCCGGGGGTGGCTTCTGTGGTTCTTCCAGTTTGAGGATTTGTGCTCTCCTACCAAATACCTTTTCTTCTTTAACAATTTCTTTTCCTTAGTCCCCACATGCATACATAATGTGTAGTCACTGACAAATTAGCAGTAGCACACCTCTTCCAGATCTAAAAGATAACTAAAAGGTTGTTTTATTTTGATTTCATAAAAAAATGGGGAAATAAGCTTTCACAAATGGTCGTTTTTTAAATGCATTAAAATTCACACTTGGAGGATTCTTTATTATTTACTGTGTAAATATTTTCTATCACCATGTAACATTTATATATTTTCACCATACTTTTATATTTGTTTAAGTTATATTATATTTTGGGTGGTAGGATAATAGTTCAATATATTTAATAATTTCCCCTCCTGGATCTTAGAGATTTTTCATACTCAACTACTTTGTGAAAACAAATCAGTGAGCAGCCTACTTTTCTTTTTTTAAAAATGTATTTTTTTATAAATGCATTGAAGGGTCTACATTTTAAGCATCTAGTTTTACATACTAAGTAAACACTAGCCAACCATTTGCAAAGTTAAGTGACAGTCCTCGTGGGTCCTCTCTTCTTCAGAGCACCATGTTGCAGAGCACACGGCCGAGAGCTACATGCTGCAGTGGCAGCGAGGACATCTGTCCAACTACCAGTACCTTCTTCACCTCAACAACCTGGCTGACCGGAGCTGCAACGACCTCTCCCAGTACCCTGTGTTTCCATGGATAATAAATGACTATTCCAGCTCAGAATTAGGTAAATGCCCTGCGTGGATTCTGACAAAGCTGAGTTGGCATTGGTCATCTTTATTGTTTTTAAAGGAGAGAATAAATTCTATTTTTAAATCATGATTTGATATATGAAAAAATTAGAACTCGATTCAATTTTATTGCTAAAGATTAACAATTTCCATTCCAAGATACTGGGTATGTGTTATATAAATATGTATTTTTATATGTTTTCTCCACGGTACTTCTTGAAGGGCACACACAGAAAAATGTACATAATTTTAATCTAGTGTTATCACTTACCTATGAAACACTTGTTTCTCACTTTGAAAATTGTGACTTAGTTTATCATATTATTTTAAAATTCACATTTGGAAATGTGATTATCAAAACAAATAATTATTCATTATAGTACATTTAATCAAAGGAAATAATCAAAGAAGAAAATAAAAATCATCCATATTGCATTACTGAGAAATAACCATTTTAACTTTATGGTATATGTGTTCTGTCTCACTCAAATTATTTTAATAAAACTGATCACATTGTAATTTTATTTTGCAATATTTTAAAATTACGTATTGTAAACAATTTGTTCCTATTGACAATTCACTACATTGAACCCTGTACTTGGAAGAGGTAATAGATTTCCTAGGAATATGAGAATTTATTTCTCTGATAAACATTCAGGTTTCCAGTTCTCACATTATGCTAATATCAATAGTAGTAAGATTCACCATAATTCAAACTTAGGAAGTAAATCTTGGTAGAAGAATAATAGCTTTTAAGTTTGTTTAATTTTTGTTGTTTTACTTGGAATGTAGGTTTTTTTATGAGATCTTTTTAAACTTAGGAAGTAAATCTTGGTAGAAGAATAATAGCTTTTAAGTTTGTTTAATTTTTGTTGTCTTTTTGTAGGTTTTTTTATGAGATCTTTTTTAAAAAATCAATATTCAAGGCATTGTCAAATTAGAAATATTACTCTTAAGCAGATGTTGTAAGTTGAAATTCAAGAAGTTCTAACATTTTCTTTACAGCTGTATAAATAACTAACAGAAGTACTATAATTCTCATGGACCTATCTGAGTCTTTTAAAAAACTGTTTTGTAGTTGTGTGTGTGCATTTCAATCAGTTCAGAAGGGTAACAGCATTAGGTATAAGCTGAAATGATTTATTTATATATGTTTATAGATTTGTCAAATCCAGGAACTTTCCGGGATCTTAGTAAGCCAGTGGGGGCCCTGAATAAAGAACGGCTGGAGCGGCTACTGGTACGTGCACTTAGGGATTCTTGGTTTCTAAGCAACATAATAAGCCATATCCTATGTTTTTGGAGTCACTGAAACTTATTTCTCCAAAACTTAGGGGAGATCTACCAGGGGTGACTGGGTGACCCTATATAAGGTTTTTCCTTCTCTCCCCACCATGAATTTAGCTACTCACCATTTGCATTTTTTGTCTATAATTCAGGAAGTTGAAAAGTGACCTATTTACAGGTTTGCTGAATTATGTTCATGAAGGTATTCAGTGGTAAATTGCATAAGAAACGCATAAAATCAGTTCTGTTTAATCCAGCCCAACACTGTTACCACTAAGCCACCAAAACCAGAATGCTTGTCACAGGAGTGCTGTTTAGTCACAGGTTTTCCTTCCATCTTATCTTCTCCTTTTTCTGTCTACATGAGAAATTAAGGAATATATGATTTCTTTTAGGCTTTTCTACTTGAGTTACTTATTATTTCATAGCCAACACTTGGCAGTATTTTTCCCCTATATTTTGTAGACACGCTACCAGGAAATGCCTGAGCCAAAGTTCATGTATGGAAGTCACTACTCCTCCCCAGGCTATGTGCTCTTTTATCTTGTTAGGATTGGTAAGAGTCTCTATCATTATAATTAAATTTTATTTCAATTGGATTCTTAAATGATTCTATGATCTAATTCAACTCTGATTTTTTCTCCCTCTAGCGCCAGAGTATATGTTGTGCCTACAGAATGGAAGATTTGATAATGCAGATAGAATGTTCAACAGGTTTGATATCAATGTCTCACTTAATTTTAACACTTTCTGATTATATATGTATAATATGTGTGTTTCAAAAAACTAGATATAGGGCCAGCCCGGTGGCACACTCGGTAGAGTGTGGCGCTTGGGAGCGCGGTAGCGCTCCCGCCGAGGGTTCGGATCCCATATAGAGACCGGTCCGCTCACTGGTTGAGCACGGTGCAGGCGCGACACTGAGGGTTGCGATCCCGTTGCCAGTCGCGGTGTGGGCGCAACGCTGAGGGTTGTGATCCCTTTACCGGTCACGAAAAAAGACAAAAAGGAAAAAAAAAAAACTAAATATAAAGAAAAATGTAAAGAAAGGTAAAAATCACAAATTGTTATACCTGTTCTTTTCAGGCTCTTTCTAGCCGTGTGTGTATAAATGTGAGAACATACTTTAAATACAGTTTTTGTCCTGCCTTTCATAGCCTAATATTCAACCTTGAAGTTTTTCTCATATTATGAGATATTTTTCAAAACAGTGATTTTTAAAGTTGCTGTGTCACATTTTAACATATACCACAATTGATAGCAACTATTTTTCTCTACTTTTGGATATTTAGATTGTTTTCAACATTTTATTATTTTTAATAATTCTGCTATGAATTGAATGCAGCTCCCTATAAGTGTTTAAATAGCTTATTTTAAAAATACAGGTAATATTTCCTTACCAAAAAAAAAAA